GCAGGGCCAGTTCAAGGGGGAAGCCTGACTCTCTTAAGCAGAGAGAGCACAGCTGAGAGGGAGGTCTCTAACTCACAAGTGAGGAAGGACCCACTCCTTACAAATGTTTCTCCTTGTGTTTATTCCCTAATTCCTAGTTTTGCTCCGCCTACTTCTAATGTTTGTGCATTTCTTTCACCTACAGTCTTGGTCAAGCCGACTCTACAGTAGTCTTAACTAACTTCTCCTTTGGAAAATCTCCAAGATATTATTAGGGCATCCATTAATCTTGGGGTGCTGACTAGCTTCCTCTTTAAAAAGTTCCTATTGACTAAGCCCTCTACAGGGTCTTAGGAGTTCAGCAGCACCTGAATTTCAGAACTTTCCAACCACAGTCTTGGCTAGTTGTGCTCCTGTAGCCGCCCGGAATCGTCTGTCTCCCCACCTGCTCACGTCTAAGCTGAGGAGCTGGCTGTCTCCTGTCTCCGGGACTGCCCACTTTTCTTTGTCTCAGCAATGATCTGCATTTCTTTTCCTTCATACCCTGTTTTCAACCTTTCCCTAACGTACCCTTGACTGTTTTAGTACAGATTGTGTCATTGACATTTAAAATTAAGTCCGAGGCAGTCAGATTGAACCCTCACAAACAAAGACAACAGCTTATCTGAAATCAATACTGTGGAAATGAACCATATTAGATATTTTGAATAATGTCCAGTATAAGAATATGCTTCTGGAATTGAGTCCTGCTTTTAAGTACCAATGGTGAAATTTAAATTCCCCAAATGTTATGACTTGTCATTACCTTGAAATGCTTGTCTATGGCTGAACTTGGCTGTTGTCTTGAAATCTCCATTTTTGACGCAGGGTAAGAGACAACACCTGAGTTGGTCTCCATATTGGGATGATGAAAAGTAAATCATGCTAAGAAAGAATCATGCTTAGAGATGAGCCCCTCACCTAATAACTTAATTTAGGGGGAGGAAGGGCAAAGGGGAACAAAGGTTTTGTTGAAGAACACGAGCATAAGATATTAAAGAATGTTTGGTAAGTAAAAGAATGTCACTTTTCTATTAACTGAAAAGATTTTGTTGTTTTATTTTGATGAGTAAGCAAAGGAGTATTTACATTCTAAAAAAGTCTTTTTGAGATACAATGGATGAGTGTTATAGTACGCAGTGAATTATACCTGGATAAAGATGAAAAAAAGAAGAAAAAGACCCTGGCTACAACCCATTGTATAGATACAATTCGATTATTTTTTGTAAGTGTGTAGAGTGGGCGTCACTCACACCCAGCTTTAGAACATGCCCTCAGTTCCAGAATCCCCACAGGCTGTTTGCAGCCAGTTGCCATTCTCTCCCCCAGTTCTGGACGGGCACTGATTTTCTCTCTACGTATCTGCCTCTTCTGGGCATTTTGTTGCATGGAATTGTACGGTGCAATGTCTCTGCAGCTGGCTTTCTGTGCTGAGCAGGTTTCAGTGTGTCATTCCTTTTGATTCCTGCACAGGACTGTTAGGCAGTTAGTTAGACATGAGCAGGGCAGAGGCAGTCATGCTGATGCAGGCTATTATGGGCCAATTCAGACCTTGTGGTTCTGCAGTTCTGGGAAAGAGGTTGGCCATTGCCCTTGGGATTCTCTAGGTCTGGACAGATAGGTATCCTCAGGTTGGCCTGAGCTGTGTTGGGAATGGGGTTAACCAAGAGCCTGAGTAGACCAATCAGAAAATGAGTAGAAAGTAGGGCTGACTTTCAAAGGGACAGTTGATATTTCCTCAAAACTGTGCATAAAATCTAGTAACTGTGTTTGCCATAGTGCCTGCAGTCACCAGGATGGTCGTTAATAAACTCTCTTTCTTGCTAAACTCCTACTTTTTTCATTCAATTATTTCAGCAACTGCCTGGAACCAGCACATTTCCAGTGGTGTTCCTGTGGGTGGATATGCATTTGTTTGTCCATTCACCAGGGGAGGACACTGGCCCAGTCACAGTGGGAGTGTCATGAAGCCACGAAGCTAGGGACATTCCCGCACAGCCTTTGACCTGGCCCACACTCTACTTTAGATAGAGTAGATAGGTAGATTTCTAGTAGTAAGTCAAGTTCATGCTTACATTTTTAAGAAATCAACTATTTTCCAAATTGGCAGTGCCATTTTACATTCTATAAGTTCAAGGTCTGCCATACCCAGTGCTTGGTATTGCCTGCTTTGTTGTTTTGTTTTATTTTAGAGACAGGGTCTTGCTCTGTCACCCAGGCTAGAGCGTAGTGTTGTCAGCTTAGCTCACAGCAACCTCAAACTCCTGGGCTCAAGCCATCCTCCTGCGTCAGCCTCCTGAGTAGCTATGACTGCTAATTTTTTTAAAAGAGATTTTGGGGGAAAGAGTGTCTTCCTCTTGTTCAGGCTGGTCTTGAACTCCTGGCCTCAGTCTCCCAGAGCACTGGATTATAGGCAGGAGCACTCACTTTGTTTGTGACACCACCCTAACGAGTTCATAGTTGTATCTCATTTTAGTTTTCATTTCCATTTGCCTAATTAATGATGTTGATCACTTTCTTAATGTTTCAGCCATTTGTATGTCTTCCTTGGTAAAATGTCGTTGAAGCATTTCACCCATTTTCAGTTCACTTGAGTTCTAAGAGTCCCTTGTATGTTCTGGAGGCAGGTCCTAGACTAGAAATAGATGATTTGCGTTACTCTCCAAATCTGAACAACTTGTTTTCCTAATTATCTTTTGAAGCACCAATATTTTTAATTTTTCTTTTTGGTGACACAGTCTCACTATGTCACCCTGAATAGAGTGCCATGGCCTCATAGCTCAGAGCAACCTCAAACTCTTGGGCTTAAGCAATTCTCTTGCCTCAGCCTCCCAAGTAGCTGGGACTACAGGTGCAATATCCAGCTATTTTTTTATTGTAGTTGTCATTGTCATTTGGCAGGCCCAGGCCGGGTTTGAACCCACCAGCCCCAGTGTATGTGGCCCGTGCCCTAGCCACTGAGCTACAGGTGCCAAGCCCAATATTTTTAATTTTAATGAAGACTAATTCATAAATTTTATTTAAGCCTCATTCTTTGGTGTCACACTTGATAACTCTTTGCCTAACCCAAAGTGATGAAAATTTTCTCCTATGTTTTCTTCTAGAAGTTTTAAAGTGCCAGCTCTCCCCATCAGGACTCTGACCCAGTTTGTATTATTATTAATATTCACAAAAGGATCCAAGTTTACTGTTCTCCTTCAGTGGACTCAGCACTCTCATTTTTCCTTGTGGAGAAGTTTTAAATTACAAATTTAATTTATTTTACAAAGATAGGGTTATTTATATTTTCCATTCTATCAATTTCAATAGATTATATTTTTCAAGGAATTTCTCCATTTTATATGATTTCACAATATTCCCTATTATTTTGTCATTGGAAGAGAATCCATACTCTGTAAAGTAATGTAAAGGGGTTTATTCTGAGCCAAATTTGAGGACCATGACCTGGAGCCACACAAGGTCACAATTTGGTTCTCTACATTTTAGAGAGACAGGAATTACAGGTAAAGTCATAAATCAATTCATGGGAAATATACGTTGTTTTGGCCAAAAAAGGCAGGAGATATGGAAGATGGGGATCTTACAGGTTATAGGTGGGTCTAAAAGATTCTCTAGCTGACAATTGACTGAAAGAGTTAGGCTAACAGATTGGGAGTCAGTAAAAAGGAACATTTAAGATAAGTGTCTGTTAATCAGAGACAAACTACAGCACCCTTGCCCAGACCCAGGGTTTGTTATGTATATTGAGGACCTGCAGGTGTGTCTGGCAGAGCCCTAGGCCTGTTAGTGAGTCACAGAGGACATCTCTAAGGAGGGAGAAGACGTGATGAGGCCTGTCTCTTCTCCTTTCTCCTAGGAGGTCTGGTCAGTCCGCTGCTGGTGGGGGGAGCCTTAAGATTTCATTTTAGTTCATAATTCTTTTCAATAATTTTAGGCTTTGTGGTGATATCTCCTACTTTATTTCTGATATTGATAATTTTCTCTCTCTTTTTCCTTGTTTGGTAATGCTTGGGTTTATAAATATTTTTTTTAAAGAACCAATGACTTGCTTTGTTGATTTTTCTCTGTCATCTTCATGTTCTAGATCATAAATTTCTGTTCTGATGTCTATTTTTCCTTCTTTTCATTTGAATTTTAATTACTTTTTTTTAAACCTTTTCTTTCTTTTTCTTTTTTTAGCTCACTTTCATTCTCTTCTCCCTGGACTATAACTTCCCTTCTCTGGGCACCAGATGAGCAGTGGTATCTAAGCACACACAAAGTCACATTTTACTATTACTTATTTCCTTTTTAACTGACAGATAAAAGATTGTATACACAAATGGTATACAGCATGATGTTTTGAAACTTGTATACACTGTGGAACTTTTTTTAGTTTAAGACGGAGTGAAAGGGGTAGCCTCGCAAAAATAGCAGGAAAATACCTAATCCTACAATTTCCTAGTAACAGTTAATGATCAGTCCTAGAGTCCTCGTGCTGACAGGCTCCCCTCCTCGGGAGGTCTGTTTTGCACAATTTCTGAAAAGAGCTGGACAGAAAAGAGGTGTAAATTTTTCTCTTTAAAATTGATTTTTGAGAATCTTCTTTTTCAGAAATCCTATCTCCAAGATAATCCAGAGAAAGAGGGGAGCCAGCTCTGGGCGCTGACGTCCAGCCAGGCCAGAGCCTCAGTTTTTGTCATCCACCAGCCCAGGAAAAGACAGAAAGGTGCAGCAGTCTCTGGAGTATAGAGTCGGGTCTGGATGACAGAACCATCCCTGCTCCCCCCTCCCCATGGGACCTTAATCACCTGGCATTTCCCTGCTTCCTCGGGGATCTTGCCACCCTCTCCCTGCTCCCCCCAGCCTACCCTTTCCCCACTGTCTTTCATCTCTCCTTCCCTCCTCTTTCTCAGAAGGTAAGATAAATTTTATCCTTTTATTTCCTTTTTTTCCCCTTCTGATTGGGAGTCCTATGACAGTAGCAGTACCCACTGAGAAGACTCTGCTGGACCCTCAGGGAAAGAGAGGCCGCTGGAAGGCCAACCCAGGTCCTGAGGAGACCTATCCCCCCTCTCCACATTAGGAAAGTGGTAAGAGTAAAGCCAGGTGTGACCATGCAGAGCTGGGAGGGTGCCTTCTACACCCTGATCCTTGGAGAAATCTTTCTCCCCAAGCCGTGAGCACCTAAGCTTTCCACCCTAACACGGAATGTAGATCTCTGATTTTAAACTTCTCTTATTTTTGTCCTATAAGCATTTAAAATTACCAGCATCCCACACATCTTGTTATATCGGTTTTATAATGATTCCATTCTAAATATTTCCTAATTTCCTTTGTGAATTTATTGTTTGATTGATGGATCATGCAGAAGTTCGTTGCTTAATTTCCAAATGTAGGGATATCTTTTATGGTTAATTTTAATTTAATTTCATTGTGTTACACCAACATATTATGTATGATTTCAATCCTTTAATTTACTGGAGTTTTTTGCTTGTGTTCGGATATGACTTACCTTGTGCACTTGACATCAGTGTGTGCTGTGCAGTTACTCTAACAGTGGGCTGTAGATGCCACTGAGGCCAAGCTGGTTGATGATGTCGTCCAGGCTTCTGTGTCCTGAATAAATTCATACGTGTGCATTTGCTGTGTCAGTTCCTGAGAGGAGCGTGTTAAAATCTCCTACTTTGATTGTGGATTTCTCTGTTTTTCTCTCTGGCTGTCAAGTTTGGTCTCTGTAGCTTGACATATTCTTGTTAGGTACATACACATTCGGGATTATTATGGATTCCTGGAGAGCCCGTCTTTTTATCAGGATGAAATGCTTCTCTCCATTGCACTCTTCATCTTGAAGTCTGCTCTGATGTAAGTACAGTTCTCTTACCTTTCTTGTGGTTAGTCACCTGTGTGGTGTATCTTTTTCTTCCTCTTTTTACTTTTAGTGTCTTTTTTAAATATGTAGGCTATAAATCATCTTGATATTTTAAGATGCACCTTTTGAAAACAGCCTGTAGCATTTACGTCCAGTCCAGGGGTCTCCGTCTACTTACAGTTACAGTGACCACTGGCACAGTTAGGTTCAACTCTTCTACCCTGCTATTTGTTTTCCATCGGTCCTGTTACTTATTTCCATCTTCTCCTGGTATTCTTGGGGATTAAATGGCATTTTTTGTATAACATTTTGACTCTATTGGCTTTTTAGTGAGGCCACTTTTTAATGTGATTGCCCTGGGCCATACCCCTTAGCTCCCCAGGGCCCACCCTAAATCAATCCTGCGCCACCCCCAGCGTGAGGACAGACGTGTTCAGTGGTACAATTCCTTTGTCATTTATTCTTTAGCCAGCCACAGAAGCTGTAATCTTTGTCCTTTTAAATTTGTGCTGTTGTCATTTATTTCACTTCTACATATGCTATAAACTCAGTCTACGGTGTTATTATTTTTGCTCTGAACACTGAATTTTGTTTTAAAGACATAAAATTTATCTGCCGTTCCTTTGTGCAGATGCAGAAAGAGCAGAGAGGCAGGGAAGAGAGGCAGCTGTGGAAGGCCAGGCGCTGCCTCACTGGCCACCGATTGGATTGAGGGCCAGTCCCAGAGACCCTCCCCATTGCTCAGCAGGGACACCAGTGGGCCACCTCCCGAGTCTCCAGATGAGCAGGAAAGAGAGCTCTGCCTTGTGGCAGGAGGAAGGAGAGGGGTCCATCCTCTAGGCAACCATGTCCCATTGGCCGGAGTTCACCCAGTGGAGCTGACCAGCCCCTGTGCAGGTCAGCAGCCTCTCAGACAGGCAGGCCCAGGGTCTGGCCTGTTCCCACCACCTACCAGCCTCATCTTTCTCCACCCTGGGCCTCATTCTCTCTAGTTTAGCCTGTCTGCCCATCTCTTATTCAGCTCTCCAGAAGCTTCACATTGGCTCCTCGATTCATGGATTGTGACCACACTCTGTGGGCAAGGCTGCTCCCTGCTCCACCGGGCTGGCTTCTGTCTATCTGTCTGGAAAGCTCCACTGCCCCTGTCACAGGGGCCTCCCCAATACTGAGGCAGGACTGGTGTCCACTCCTCTCCCATTGCCCACAGTTCATCCCCCTCCTGACATCCGTGTTGCTGCCCGCAGTCCATGGAGTGCCCATCCCCATCATTGAGCGGTGCCTGTTGTCCACCTGCTGACTCAATGTGTCACCAATGCCCAGCACAGTGCCTGCAGGCAGTAGGTGCTTAATAAATGCCTATTGTATGACCTTTGTGGTGCTGTCTATTTTAGTTTGTAGGGGTATCTATCCTATTGCCGGGGCGGTAAACAGTCAAGGTAAGATTTCTGAGGCTGGAGGCCACCTGGTGGTCAGCCCTGTGTCCACCTACAGAGCTGGGCTGGCTCTAGCAAATGGGGGTGGAGCTTCCAAATGCCAGCAGGCCCACCTTCCTTGTGGGACACACAGCTCTTAACAGACCAGCAGCAGCCCCAGTTCACAGCCCAGAGCACAGCCAAGTTGAGGACACTCCACAATTGGGCCCCCCAGCATGTGTTCTGGGGCCCTCCTGGGCTGGTGTCCACCCCCTTTCTCTTGGGATGGGCATGGCACTGCCGCCCTCTCCAGAGGACACAGCACTCCAGCATGAGTGTATCCTGGGGGCTTGTGGATGCTGTTGCTATGGACTCCAGCGTGGCGTTGCTGGCACCAGTGGTGTCCACCTACTCTGGCTCCTTCCGACTCCACAGAGGGTCAGGACCCTGTCTTCTTGCCAAAGGCACATCCACAGTGTGAACCAGATGACATAGGCAATGGGCAGGTGCAGGATGGCTTCATAAAGGCAGAACACAGAGCCTGGAGGGCTGCTGGGAGGGTGGGGAGCACGTGCAGACCTCCCATGGCTCTGTGTCCGTAACCTTTAACCTCCAGATGAGAGGAAGATGCTGGTCACTACACATTTACTCTGAGACTGGGGAAAACCAGCAGGAGGGTGTGCGGTCCCAGTTGGCCACTGTGAGATGTACTTGAACTCTCTCACCTGACCTCTAAAGCCCTGACCCAAAAGAGGATACTTCAGTGATGAGTCTGTGTTCCAACCACCCCCCTCCATGGCATCTGGCAAACAGCTGCAGGTCCCCATGGGGGAGGTTGGGGAGGGTCACGGACACACTGGGTCTGCACTCAGCTTCCCCAGGGGGTCTGGAGAGGGCCAGGGACATAGTTGGCTGCACTCAGGTTCCCCTGGGGGGTCTGGGGAGGGTCAGGTACACATTGTGGTTGCCTGGAAAGAGTCCTCTGAGGACCGCATTGCCCTCTCTGAGGAGCAAATTGCCTGGTCCTTTGAGAGGTCTCGAGCTGTGGACTGGCTTAGAGCTGTGAATGGGCAGGTGGCTGTGGATTTTTCTGCAGTGCCCCAGGCAGCTTGCTCCAGGAAACCAGGAATTTCTCAGCTTCATTGTCAAGCTGTTTTCTAGGGACCCTGTAGTTAATGAGGTGTTGCCACAACCCGCTGTGGTCAGACATCTGGTCTCTGCTCTGTCCTGGGCTTATGGTAGTGGCCTCATCGCTGTCCACCTGGTGTTGCCTCCAGGGGTTCTCACTGGCACCTTTGCGTTCACAGTAAATGGACTCCTGCCCTCAGGAGACAGGTTCCTTCTACAGTGGGAGCCTCATGCCTCCTGTGCTCAGCCTCCCCTGTGTTGCTCAAATACCGCCACCTGAATCACAGGGTCCCCGTAACCTCGCGTGTCCTTGTTCCTACACAGGCCTAGTGGTTGGCTGTGCGTATCTGTCAACCTTTCCAGGAGCTAGTGATCAAAACCAGTCCAGGTGTTGCTGGCAAGTATCTTGATGAGGCTAATTTCCATAGTCAGTGGACATTAAGGAAGGGAGATAATCCTCAGTCACCTTGGAGAACCACACCCAAGCTGCCGCAGCCTGGAGTGGGCCTAAGCAGAGGCTTGGCTGCTGAGGCACTTTGCTGAGAGCTGGAGGAGCCAGTTATTTGGAACTGGAGGAAAGTGGCAGGAACCGTGATTGAATCAGCGCAGCTGGCAGCCGGGTGGAAAGCAGAAATTCAGTGATGAACTTGGATTTTTAGCTGAGCAGATTCCCAAGCAAGGTGTTAGGGTACGGGCTGGTGTCTACTTGCTATTTACAGTCAAATGTGAGACATAAATTAAGGGAGGATCTGTTAAGCAAAATGAATTAGCACTTAATTGTTTGAGAGGTTCTTGGCTTACCCAGGTTGCAAAAGATGTCAAAATTAGGAAATTCGCTGTTGGAAAAGCACATTCTGAACAGAGAGCTGAGGGTGTTTGTGGCTGGACAACATTTTGCTAAAGAGACTGAGCAGGTGCCCCCGAGTCCACTCAGCAGGAGTGGGGAGTAGAAAGAGTGCTGTCCAGGAGGGGTCTGCAGGACTCTTGTCTCATAGGGCCCTTTGATACACACAGGAGAGTGCTCTACCCACAGAAACTCTGCTGGTTCAGACTGAAAGGACAGACGGCCTCCAGACTTCCACAATTCTGTAAGCAAGAAATGGGCTGATGGAACTACTCAGCTGCAAACATATGCCGTCCCTCAGGAAAAAGGAACATCAACTCTGAGGGGGCCCAAAGGCCGGTGGGGCCTCCATGGGCCCAGAGAGTGGAGCATCGAGGTGGAGGAGACTCATGAGGCCTTGAAACCTGGAATTTGCCCTGGTAGACTTGAATGTACTTGAGACCAGTGACTCCTATATCCCTGGTAATTCTTCCCTTTAGGAAGAGGGCGTACACCTATGCCCATCCCACACTGTAGTCTGGAAGCAGTAACTTGTTTTCTAGTTCCCGATACTCAGGTGAAGAGGAATTTTGCCCCTGGATAGACTGTATCCGGAGTCTCACCTGCAGATGATTTAGGTGAGGCTTAACACTTGTGAGCTGAAAACATTTAGGTGAGATTTTTGACTTGGAGTTTATGTTGTAATGGTTGATATTCTGGAGATGTGGGTTTGTGGCGAATGTATTTTGTTTATGGGATGAACATGGATTTGGAGGACCCAGAGGGTAAATGGCAGGGGTTAAATGGTGGCTTTTCCCCACCAAGAGATATGTCTATGTTTGGACCTGTGCTTGTGACCCTATGTGGAAAGAGGAACTTTGCAGAGATAATTGCATTAAGGGTCTCAAGATGAGGTCATCCTGGATTAGGTGGGCCCTGAATCCAACAAGTGTCATCATGAAGGAAGAAAAGAGCAGAACAGCAGATGACAAGGTGGGGGGGAGGCAGGGACCAGAGGGATGTGTCCAAGGTCCAAGCCATGCCCAGGACAGCTGGGGCCACCAGGGGCATGGGACAGGTCCTCTCAGGGCCTCCAGAAGGACCCAGCTCTGCAGCTTCTGATTTCAGACTTCTGGCTTCTAGAACTGTGCGAGTGTGTGTTCAGCAGTGGCACCCACGGCCATCTGTCACGGCTGCCCCAGGATGGCTGCGCAGGAGCCTTGGGGTTGAGCCTGGAATGTGAGCTTCAGCCTGACTTGTCCTGGGGTGGGTGGGGGCTCCTTCCCAGTGGCGTGTATGCTGTCTCCTCCCTGCCTGTGTTCCTGACTCATCAGAAGCCAGGTGGCCCTGTGACCTTTAGAATCAATATGTTACCACGGCAACCAGGCATGGAGCGCTTGGTCTCAGAAGCCCTTGCCTTCCTCCTACGCTCTGCCCAGTCCCACCAGGGGTGACTCTGACGCACCACAGGCGGGGATGGTTGCTTTCCCGTTTCTCACTGGGAAGGAGGCATCCAGGATTCTCCCCATGGAAGAGTGCCCAGCATCAGGCTCCTGTGAGCTCCTTCCCGGTTCTGGGCTTAGTTCTGGATCCACTTCTCAGAAGCAGGCAGCGCGCCCTCCCTGGGGGCCCTGAGGGATTCAATAAAAGGATGGACAGAGTGTGGGCAGGGTGTGCAGGGCACTGGTGTTAATTTAAAAATGATGACAGAAGACTGAGGACACGGGAAACAGATGAGGCTACGCTGCCCCAGCTTCTGGCAGTCTCTGACTCTGTCAAAGGCAGGTCCCTTGAAGTCGTGGCTTTACGGAGAATGACAGACTGATGCCACTTGTGCTGGGGCTTCAGAGACAGAGCCCTGGACAAAACCAGCCCCTAGCTGTTCTGCACACCCCCCAGCTGGACCCTCACTGTCCTCCCACACTGGCTTCTTTCTAGGGCCAGTGTCCTAACAGTTCCTAGGGCTGTTTGTGGTCAGGCCTGAGCAGCATGGACACCTGCTCAGAGACCCTCCCGGGGCACCCCAACAGAAGTGATCCCATGATCACACATGCACCACCCACAGGGCCCCTTTTGTGTGCTCCACATTTACCTGCTCACAGTCACTGCTGCTCTCTGCCACTAGAGCAGGCCCTGCCCTCTCACAGCCGATGTTCCTGATCAGTGTGGCACATAGAGTCCCTGGAAGTCTTGGTTGCCCTCGTCCCCTTCACAGCTGCCCCCTTTTCAGCCCCAGCCTCCCACAGCCTCCCTAGAACTTGAAGCCACCTGAGATGGGACGCTGGCCCTGGTGTATTCTGGGGCGCTGTGGCTCCTAACCCTCTGTCTCCTGTCTATGCTGTGCACCCCTTAGTCTCAACCTGGCTCTCACCAGCAGATCCTGTGCCTCCTTGGACCCTGCACTGTGTCTGGGACGGTTCCAGAGCTGAGCCCTGGGCCCACAGGCTGTTACAGGTCTCATCTCTCTGTCGCTGGTCCCTCTTTCCAACTGGAGCCCACGAGGAGCCCCAGACTCTACAATCTGGTCTTCTTTCAGGAGCCGCTCAGACTCTCTGCCAGAGCCTTCCTGCTTCCGGACTGGGACAGGCGCCCGGCCTGGTGTTTGGGGCTTTCATCAGGGCAGGGATGGCGGGGCTCCCAGATCCACATGCAGTCACCCTCATGAATCCCTCCAGCCTCCTTTGCTCTGTCCTCTGTGGGCCTTGGTGTCCCTGAGTCAGGAATCCTCTGCCCCTCTGCCCAGGGGACTTGCCGACCCAGCTTAGGGGGCAGGGGTGTCTGGGGCTCTGGCCTCTGTGTTCACTTTCCAGCTCTCCCCGTGGTTGGCCCTTCCTGAGGAAGCCCTCAGCCCTCACGGTCACTTTTTTCAGCACTTTCTGAAGCCCATTTTAACACATTTTCCCTGCAAAGCTAAGCAAAGCACCTGCTCTAGCTTCCTTTCTCTTTGTGGGGAGGATTATTCCTTATCTGCCACTTTCAGAAGTCTGGGAAGGGGAGGGGATAAAATGTGGCCAGACACTGTGGTGTGTGGGGGTGGGGGTGGGGTTCTGAGGTGTGCGCTGGGGAGCAGGGCCTGGTCAGCACTCCAGTGGGTCTAGCTCAGTGGTGGTGTTGAACTGCGGGAACATTCCTCGTTTAGCTGCCACAGGGTGAATACGGACCATGGCAACAGGCGCACAAGGCAAGTGCCCAAGTGTCCAGGAGGCTGGCAGGAGGAGGCCTGTGCACCCCAGGTTAATTACTTGCCCCAAGTGCCCCAGGCAAACATGCCAGCCTGGCAGGGAGACCTTCAGAAGATGGTAAGTCAGGACAGCCTAGGTTACACTGAGATAAAAATGCCCTCCAAATCTCAGCGGTTTATACAGGGGCTGATTTCTCCTTGTTCTCCACGTCCAAGGCAGGTTGGCAGGTAGCTCTTGTAGTCTCCAAGATATGAGGACTCCTCCTTAGGCAAGGGTGTGTGTATGGACAGTTGGATACTGGCCCCTAAAATGTTGGCCCCGAAACTACACCGATCTCCTTCCTGAGTTCACATTTCATTGGTCAGGAAGGTCAGACGACCACACGGAATGTCAGGGGTGGTGGACCCGGCAGGGCCAGGTGGCTGCAGAGTGGTGTTGAACTTGCGCATGGAGGCGGAGGGAGGGGCCTGCAGCAGTGGTGGGATCTGCCTTTCATCAAGGGAGGAGCAGGAGCCCCTCCAGGACCTCCCAGGGCAGGCAGGACAGCTCGCTGGCCTTTGCGGCCTGACTCGAGGGCAGAGCCTATGGAGTCAAAGGCTTCTAAAGTCAAACAACCAGGGAACAAGAGGCGACCCCTCAGGGACAAAGCGTGAGGAGCAGCGGTCAGCACCAAGAGAGTTCTGTCTCCTGGAGCACCGCATGGGCCAGGCGCTTCACTTGCAGGCCCTCATCCTGCCCAGCGGAAGGGCGGAGGCGCCCGAGGTCAAATCGAGTCCCAGGCCTTCTGGATTCGCCGCGAAGGCCTAGCAGAGCTCCAGTCCAGGCAAGGGGACCCGGCGTTACTCCCAAGCGCAGCGCACGTGCTCAGCGCCGCCACCACCCAGGGCGTGCGCGCACACACTCGCGCACGAGCTCGCAGCCTGGGTCCGGCGCGTCCGCCCCGCCCCTACCCTCCCCGGGGGCCGCGCATAGGCGCAGCCTGCAGTCGCGGGACGGGATCCCGCAGCTGGCAGGCTCGGAAGGCTGCGCGCCCTAACCCGAAGCCTGGCCAGGCTGGCGCAGGCATCTCCCAACGCCCCCATCCCAGGCCTCCAGCCTGGCCTCACGAAGCGCAGAGCCGCAGGCTGAAGTTTAAGGTTCCCCCAAATCGGAAGTCCGCGCGCTGGTATTTTTACGAAGGCAGCAGGGGTGGGTAGGCCCAAAGAGACCCCAATACTCCTTCTGAGTCCGCGAGAATGTCCCTGCTGTCATGCGGGGCAGAGCTTTACTGGTCCCCAGGATCCCGGCCGTTCGAGGCCTTCAGGATACCCCCGGGAACCCTCGACTGTCCTTTCTCGCTCTGTCCGCGCCGCCTAGTTGGTGCCGCGGTCCCACTACCCATGCAGACCAGAGTCCCAGTAGTCCCCAGACTGTCGCGGACACCGGCACCGCGCCCCACGCCAGCCCCGCCCCGTCCCCGCCCTGTCCCCGCCTCTGGTTCTCGGCTCCACCCCTGACCCCTTCGCGGCGGGCTCCTCCCCGGCCCCGCCTCCGCGCTCGTAGTCGGCAGGGTGGGTTCGGCCGCCCAAGGGAGCAGGAACCCAGGCTGGGGCGCACGGCGGGCGCTGTCAGCCCTACCGTCCCGCTCCGGGCCCTGAAGGCCGGCCATGCCCTCGGCTGCGGCCGCGTCGCGCACCCAAGCCCGGCGATGAGGAGCGGCGCGGAGCGCAGGGGCAGCAGCGCTGCGGCGCCCCCGGGTTCGCCGCCCCCCGGCCGCGCGCGTCCTGCCGGCACCGACGCGACCCCAGCCCTGCCGCCGGCCGCCGCCGGCCAGCCCCGGGCTCGGGACGCGAGCGATGCCCGCGCGCAGCCGCGCCCACTGTTTCAGTGGGGCAAGTGGAAGAAGAGGATGGGCTCGTCCATGTCGGCCGCCACGGCGCGGAGGCCGGTGTTTGACGACAAAGAGGACGGTGAGTGCGGCCGCTCGGCGGCGACCGGGCGGGCTCTCGCAGGGGCGCACGCAGCGGTGGCGTTTTCTCCTGTCTGGACACCGCGGCCACCGGGTGGAACGGCGTCCCGGGGCGTCTTGGTATCTGAGGAAACTCACGGAGGGAGTCTGCAGTCCCACGCGCGGCCGGGGCACCCGCCCGAGTCCTACGTCTCCAGCCGCGGCTCTGCGGGAGGAGCAGGCTCGGCCATTGGGGGGGAGGCGGTGAGGGTCCTTGGCGGGGGCTCCCAGCTTAGGCGCGGCTCCGCCCACTGTAGCGAAGCCTTTATGTTTCATTATGCTTTTAGGGGCGATGTGCGGGCTCAGTTGTTACTTTGCAGATCCCCAGACTCTCACCTGTAGTGTGCTGAGTTTGTGAAGTGAGACGCCTGCCCCACAGGTGGCTCGGGGGACCGTGGCCCCTGTGAGCGCTCAGGTCCCGGGGGCGTGCCCAGTCACCGTGGACATAACTCCCAATCTTTGCACTCGGATGCGTGGTGGGGACAGGGCCTTGCCTTTGTGGCGAGGCCGGCCTCTCAGGAACGTGTTCGCTGTGAAGTCCTGCAGGTGAAGCCACCAGCCTGGAGGGCGGTGTCTCTTGAGTGATCATGCCCAGGTGGGAGCAGGTGGGAGACCAGGCGACAGGTGACAGGCAGCCTGGCAGCAGGGAACTTTGACCTAGCACCCCAGGGAAGGATGCCCAGCGCTGCCTGCCTTTGGGCACTGGAAGAACTAATCTTGTAAACAGATAGCCCTTTTCTACACATGGTATGTAGATAATTTTTAAATGGTACAATGGCAACACATTTGATGTTTTTTTGACATCTTCTTAAAATAGTTGAAATATGCATTTTTTATTTGTAGGCAGCCTGCAGAGGTAGGATGGCTCCTGCATAATTTTAGAGCACAGCTCAGCTCTAGGGCCCCAGCTATTTACTTCTGATAAATAATTTAGACATTATAGGAAATTGCAGTGACACCACCCTAAGCTGTGCACCAACATCCCTCACAGAGCTGGGTCTGGGCTCCACTGGCTGTGGTCAGCAGAAGGGCCTTCAGGATCAGCTACCCAGCCCCTTGACCTGGGGTGGCAGAACTCACTGTGGTGACTGTTTCATGTGTGTGTTTGAAGCCGGGAGTGAACCAGCTGATCAGGAAGCAGCCTTACATCCTGTCCTGGCTGCAGGATGAGGAGGTGTCTGAGAAACATCTCTGATGTTGCACTAGCTGATGGCAACCAAGAGCGGACGCTCTTTGGAGTCCCAGCATCACACCCTCGGCAGCAGCAAATGTAAGAATAGAGAATTGGTACAGGACAGGGGCAGCCCTCAGCTCTTGAATTTTTTTTTTCCTACCTGCTCACTGTGTGTTACTTCTCAGAATTGAAGAATCAAGGCAAAAACAGCACGAGTCTGTGGTACTACTGTCTGATTCGAGAATTATTTTGTGCGTGCCCCCCTCACCTGCTTGTGGTAGAGTGGCGGAGGTATCAGCTGTTCCGTGCTGAGTAAGGAGGTGACTGGCTTGGCTTACAGATGCCTGTTCTTTGTGACATGTGACCATGGCTTGCTCCTCACTGGGCATGGTGGCCATGTCCCCAGAATGAACATTCTGCTGGGACTTCCTGGGTTTTGTTTAGTGAAACTGGGAGTCCAAGACGGCCCCTGGGCCTGACAGCTGAGGATGTCCTCTGGGTAGGTGGCCACCGCATTCCACTCTTCATGTCCTCGGTAGGACAGGAACAACTCGGAGGCCACAGCGGTGGTTGCAGAGGGGACACTGCACAGCACCTCAGGGACGTGTGCAGGATGCGTCTAGGTGGGAAGGCTGCAGTTTGCAAAGGAGAAGGGAGACTGGGGAGGAGACTCTGAGGAAGGGACTGTGGCCTGCACCCCCTCCCCTGCTGGTGGAGTTGCTGCCCCTCTCGGCCCCAGTGGGGGCAGACCTGGGAGATGGTGGTGTTGTGCTGGGACCCATGTTCACTGGAACTGCATGGTTGCTATGGCAATGGGAGACCTTCTGATGAATTTTTTAGATTAAATCACCTAATTAATATATCAAATTTGGTATGCAGAGGAGAGAGGAAAAGAAAATAAGAGGGCAATTTAACAAAGTGCCAGGTAAATTTCAACTAAAAAGCATAGTTTTGACATGTAAGACTCAAATGTCCCTGTTCCTTTAAATCTCTGGAATCCAGAGCCATTCTCCTCACTGGCAGGTACAGAATTCTCTGCAACTCTCCCCACTAACAAACCCAGGGGCTGGCCTCCTGCTCCTGCCTCAGCCCCCTATGTCCCCTGAGTTCTGTCACTGTTTTGTCTCAGTGCCCCTGTGATGCTGAGTAAGGCTGAGAGGAGGTTTCTAGCACCTTCCCACCAGCGCCTCTGTAACCGGGTGGTTCACCAGCCCATCCCCGGGGTTCATGGCTCATCTCAACCAGAGGTGACCTTGGCTTACTCCTAATGAGTAACTGATCGATGAGAAGGTTTGACTTCACCTGAGAAAACTGGGATAAAGGCAGGCCCGAGAACTATGGAAGGGCTGCCCTGCGTGTGCCGGGTGGCTGCCAGATTCATATACATCGTTAAGCATTTTATACTTTCTGCCAGGGTAGGTGTCACTTTAGCACTGAGAGATGTCTGCAGTGAACATTTCAGTAAACATATCTCCAGCCTTTTTCTAGGAATGCAGGCAGACATATAGCCATATAGAAATAGGCTTTCATTTTACAGAAGTGAGATCATGTAACTTGCTTTTTTATTTAGCAATGCCACCAACGTCTTCTAGATCTAAAGCATCATTTGTCGGCTAAATTTACATCAGCAGTTCTCAACCCAGGCTATGTATTAGATTCAGTGGGCACTCTTAAAAATTGAGGCTGAATTTGCAGAGGGAGCAAGGGGTGGGTCTTCGCATCAGTTCTTTCCCCAAGTCCCCCTTGTAGTGTTATGCCTGAGAGGCTTTGTTTTGCAGAATTCCTTTGTGTAGAAAGAACTTCCCTATTTATTTAATTTCCCACTGTAGGACTGGAAGGGTCTTTATTTTTTAAACATCCTTAACAATTTGCTGATGAACATCCCTGCATATCTGCCTGCGCTCACTTGCGTTCTTCCCTTAGGAACGACGTGGCCAAATCAAAGGGTGTCCATGAGAAATTCCTTCGTATGCAGGCCGGATGCCTCTGACCGAGTGAAGCCCCTGGACAGCCAGTGCTGTCTTGGGTGCTGGCTACCCAGAGGTGACTGGGTGGATGTGGGCTCTGCTGTTGTGGGGTGACGGGATAGAGCACAGGCAGACAGTGAGGAAGGGCAGTGAGCCGTGAATACACGGCAGGGGGGGCCTGGGGGACGGAGACAGGGACCTGGTTCCTGGGCAGGAAGACACTTTGCCCTTGCTCCAGGAAGGCATGGAAGTATTTTTTCCCTGAATCCCAAGGGAAAAAATATTGTCCGTCTAAGAGATAAGACGGTAGCGTTAACACTCTTGAGTTTTTCAAATTACCAATGAGAGTAATAATCATTTTGCTTTTCAAACACTAGGCGTTCACATTTCTTTTTTCTTTCTTTTCCAAATTGCTAGCCTCTGCCCTTTTTCAGTGTTTCCTATGGGACTGATTGCTGTGGTGTTTCTTTTCACTCTTTCTTATATATAAAGGTTTAGCCTTTAACAACTTCCCACTGTGTTTGTCATCTAGCTTTTAATGCTGCTGGTTTGTGTGTGTGTGTGTGTGTGTGTGTGTGTGATTTCTGTGTGGTTGAGTTCATCAACATCTGCCTTTGTGGCAGCTTCTTGTCTTGGTGTTGTGTTGCAGAAGTCAGTGAATAGTAATTCGATTTATGAACCTGCATCTGTACTTTCTTCTAGTACTTCTGTTGTTTTATTTTTTGTGTTGAAAATTTCAGTCCCCAGCCCTGTCCCCTGGCGTCAGTGCCCTCGCTGCCCATCGGTCCCCAGGAGCCCTGGCCCAGGGACGGGCTCTGTCCTGCGTGTTGGTTGCTGGTTTTTACTCATCCTGTTTTCCTTCTGGTTAATGCTGATATGAAAGAAACTCTACTTTTTAAAACATTTGTCTTTTATGTGGCTAAGAATTGCTTCCTCTTGTGTATGGCTTCTCTTTGCTAAAAATGTTGTTAGTTCTCACAGCTTTTACCTTCATTTGCTTGGACTCTCTGGGTGGCCTGGGTTGCCACCTGAAGAGAATGACTGGTCTGTCCTTCTGATGTTTTACCCAAACTCACAGAGAGGAGGAGAGTGAAGCTGCTGAGCCCCAGGGCTGCAGACGGCTCAGGACAGCTCCTCCTGTCCCTATTGTGGTTGATGGGGCATCATTTCTAAGGGTCAGTTTAGCTGTAGGTGGCAAGCCTTCTGTTTCCAGTCAGGTGCAACTCAAGTTTTAGTGGGTGCCTTCTTCACTGTCACCTGACCCTAGAAGGCAGGGGAAGCTCTCTGTGACCCAGGTCTGGGCTGATACTGACTCCTGCCCCTGCCCCATATGCAGGGGCCGTGGTGACTACAGCTCCGAGGGTCCTTCACTAGGTGGAGGGAACTTGTAGCAGAGGCCTCTGGGTTCCAGGTTGAGGGTGCAGGTTTGGGCTGGAGTTGGGTGGGAAGCCACATGATCTTGGCCCACCACTGGGTTTTCCCTTGCCCTTGGTTCCTGGGTCCCTGGGTCCTAGGTCCAGCACTGGATGTCCCAGGGGCCTTTTGGTGGCCATGGGACCTGATGCATTTTCTCCTTCCCAGCTGATGAGGCTGGTCTAGAATGGACTTGGGACCTACTGTCATACTTTTTTATGTAACAAATGTCAGCTCTGCGTGTCTATCCATCTGGTTGTGCATTTTACAAGGCTAAAAATAAGCTGGCTTTTCTTTTAAAAATTTAACCACCCAGCTTTCCAGTTGAAAAATAATGCAGGATGCACTGGAGGGAATTTCTGTTCAGGGCTTCTCCCTGAGGAGACTCTGAGATGGTCTAGGGTAGGC